CTAGACCAATGGTACAGAATACAAGACACAGAGACAAGCCCACATAAATACTGTTATCTCATACAAGACAAAGGCACAAAAAAACATTCATTGAAAAAAAGATAGCCTCTTCAACAAATAGTGCTGGGAAATCTGGAAATCCATATGTAACAAAATGAAATTAAACCCCTATCTTTCACCTACACAAGACTCAACTCAAAACGGATTAAAACTTACATACAGAACAAAGACCCTGTGCTTAACAGAAGAAAAAGTAGGCCCAAATCTTTACCATGTTGGCTTAGGAACTGACTTCCTTAACAAGACTCCTAAAGTGCAAGAAGTAAATTCCAGAATCAATAAATGTGATGGCTTCAAAACTAAAAACAAAAAACAAAACTTCTTTTCAGCAAAGGAAACAGTCAACAATATGAAGAGAGATCTACAGAATGGGAGAAAATCTTTACCACACATACCTCAGATAGAGCATTAATCTCCAGGGTATATAAAGAATGCAAAAAAACTTAACAACAACAACAACAACAAAAAACCCCCAAATAACCCAATCAATAAATGGGCTAAGGAACTGAATAGATATTTCATAGAAGAAGAAATAAAATCCATCAACAAATATATAAAAAATATTCAACATCTCTAGCAATTAGAGAATCTCAAATCAAAATTACTCTTTCATCTCAGTCAGAAGGGCAATTATCAAGAATACAAACCACAATAAATGTTGGAAAGGATGTGAAGAAAAAGGAACACTCATACATTGCTGGTGGACTGCAAATTGGTGCAACCATTATGAAAAGCAGTATGGAGATTCCTCAGGAACTTGGAAATGAACCACCATTTGACCCAGCCATCCCACTCCTCGGTTTATACTCAAAGGACTTAAAATCAGCATACTACAGTGATACAGCCACATCAATGTTTATAGCAGCTCAATTCACAATAGCTACGATGTGGAACCAACCAAGATACCCTTAACATATGAATGGATAAAGAAAATATGATATATACATGATATATGAATGAAATGGAATCTTAAAGAAGAATGAAATTATGGCATTAGTAGGTAAGTGGAGTTGGAAAATATCGTGCTAAGCAAAATAAACCAATCCCAGAAAACCAAAGGGTAAATATTTTCCCTGATATGTGGTTGTTAATTCATATTAGGTAGGGGGCTAGGGAAAAATAGAGATAGTTTGGATTAGGCAGAGGGGAATGAAGGGAAGGGAGCCATATGAAGTAAGAAGGATAGTAGAATGAATCAGACATTATTACCTTATGTGCATATATGATTATATGACAGGTGTGATTCTACAACATGTACAATCAGAAGAATGAGAAATTATACCCCATTTATGTATGATATGTCAAAATGCATTCTACTGCCATATATAACTAATTAGAATAACAAAAATAGAAAAAAATAAAGGATTTTTATGAGTTAATATTTAAGATTTAAATAGAATAGACATGAGAGGGAAAGAGACACTTAAAATAATCTCAGGTTTTTTGAATTCAGCAACCAAGTGAATGCTGGTACTAAAGATTATCAGATCAATTAAAAAAGATAAAGGGAACTCCTACAAAGAATTAACTCAAAAGAAGGGAAAATAATAGAAGAATAAAAAGAAGTCAAATAAAAAGCTGATTAAATTTATTTAAACTGTATAAGTAATCACATTAATTGTCAATCATGTGGTCACCCAATTTAAAATGCAAATATTTCAGAATAAATAAAAAAGCAAAACTCAACTATGTGTATTCTAAAAGAAGTGGGGCTTACTCAAAACACAGAAATCATATGCTGTTCTCTATACCAGTAATGAGTAAGAAAATGAAAATTCAAAAGCATGTTATTCATGATACTATTAAAAATAACAAGCTAGGAATAATTCTAATGAGGATATACAAAAAATTGGGCATGGTGGTGCATGCCTGTAGTCCCAGTGACTCAGGAGGCTTTGGAAGGAGGACTGAAAGTTGAAGGTCAGACTCAGCAACATTGCAAGACTCTTAGCAATGTAGTAAACCCTGACTTAAAAATGAGAGCTGGTATTGTATCTCAGTGGTAGAGTGCTTATCTAACATGTGTGAAGCACTAAGTTCAATCTTCTGTACCACACAAAGATAAATAAATAAATGAACAAATAAAAAATAAATAAAATATATTGTATCTATCTACAACTAAAAAAATTAAAAAAAAAATAAATTTGACTGGGGATGTAGCTTGGTGGTAAAGCAATCCTGCCTGGGTTTAATCCCCAGTTCCCGCCTCCCAAACAAAAGACAAGACAAACAAGTATGCAATACTTTATTATTTTTACTCAGAAAACTACAAAAGATTATTGATAAAAGGATGATCTACATAAAGTATGATATTCAGTTTACATGGATTAAATGATACAATACCATAAAGATCTTAACTCTTGAATAATCTATAATTTAAATGGAATTTAAAATCAAAATCTCATAATGACATTTTGCAATTTAGTAATTTCAAAATGTATTTGGAAATGCAGAAGACCAAAAAGAGTCAAGACATTCTGAAGGAAAGTATGATGTTCTGAAAGTCATGGTCTACTAGAATAATCAAGAGGTAATGTATAAGTGCAATTAAAGAAAACAGATTCAGAAACAGACCCACAACTAATTTATGACAAAGGCAGAGGTTATCTTTCCAACAAATGGCACTTGGAGATATATACAAACATATATATATGAAAAAGAACAAAAGATGACCCTTATACTTCACATCATCTACAAAAATTGATTCTAGGTAGACTGTAAATTTAAATATAAAAAACAAAACTACGGTTTCTGGAAGATAATTTAGGAGAACATTGTCATGACTTTGAAGAAGGAAAAGAGTTTAATCAGGACACAAAAATGCTACACAGTTAAGGAATTAAAACTAAAATTCTAGTCATTAAAACAAGGAAGAAAATAAACTATCAAGAGAATTATAAGACGAGCCACGGAGTGGGAATATATATTTACAATATAAATATAAATATATGTGTGTGTATTTATTGGACAATATATAAAAAACTCCCCCAAATCAATAGTTCAGATACCTAAATAAAAATGAGCAGAGTATTTGAACAGGCACTCACAAAAGAGGACATCAAATGCCCAATAAACATATGAAAAGATATTCTGGAATCAGGGAAATGCAAATTAAATCGTAAGATAGTATTACAAGTCCATTACAAAAATTGAGAATACCACATGTTGGTAAGGACATACGGCAATAGTACCAATTATATGCTCTGGTAGGAGTGTAAACTGATAAAAACTACCTTGGAAAGTTGTCTACCTGTTTATGTTGGCTCCAAACTTGACACAACATAAATTCATTAACAGTGGATAAATAAATAAGCTATGATATATTCATACAGTAGACCCATCAATGAAAATGCATAAACTTCTGCCATATGCAGCAACATAGATGAATCTAACAAATAGTGAATAAAAGAACCTAGACACGCAAAAATACATACTATTACATGATTCCACTTATAGTTTTGAAAAAGAATATTTAGGGTACATACTTGCAAAATTTTCATAAAAATCAGGATAGTTTTATTAGCTTTAAGGAAATGAATGAGTAGTGATTGAGAAGGTATACAAAGACCATGGGACATGATAATGTTATACATCTTGGTCTAGAGAAAAAAAACACATGGGTGTTCTTTTAGAGATAAATCTAATCTTTGTTTTGTGTACTTTATTGAATTCTGTCAATATAAATATCAACTAATGCACATATTATAGAAAACTGTTACATGGTGGAGCAGGCTGAGCTAGGCATGGTGGGGCACACCTGGATCCCAGCAATTCAGGAGGCTAAGGAAGAAGGTCTCAAGTTCAAGGCTAGCCTTAGTTAGATCCAGTCTCAAAAAATACAAAGGACTGGGGATGCAGCTTAGTGGTAAGTACCTTTGGGTTCAATCCCCAGAAATGGAAAAAAAACAAAACAAAAGACCAGACTAAATGGACAATCAGGAACTGAAGTTCAATGGAAGCATGCCAAAACAAGAACAGAAAATAAGAAATGGAGACATGAATACCGATGACTGTTAGGAAAAATTTGGTTTCGAAGGAGAGCAAAGATGTAGGGTGATAGATAGTTGGAAGGGAATGCAAGGTTATGAACAAGATAAACTGACATAATTATTCTTAATAAACCACAGATTCCAGACTTGCCAGGTGAAGGCTAAAATGTCTTAAATACACTCAAAGACATAAGAGAAAAACTTGGACAAAGAACTAAAGGCAACCAGGAAAACAAATTATAATAAGGAATCATACAGAAATTCTTGAGCTGAAAAAGTATAATAACTGACTTGAAAAATTCATTTGAGGGGTGCAAGAGCAGATGTGAGCAGGAAAAACAAAAAATTATTTAATTCAAAGACAGGACAATATCAAATTATCAAGTCTAAAATACAGAATTTTAAAAAAAGAATTATTCAAATGATCCAACAAGTCCACTCTAGGTATATACTTAAAATAATAAAAAGTAGGGACTCAAAAGGATGTTTATACACCACTGTTTATAACAAAATTATTCACAATAGCCAAAAGGTGGAAGCAAAACAAAGTATGATACACCCATATAATGAAATAGGCAAACCTAAAAAGAAGTGAAATTGTGATACATGTTACAGTATGAACAAACCTTGAAAAAATTATGCTAAATAAAATAAGCCAGACACAAAAATAAATGTTGTTTGATTTCATAAATGTGAGATACATAGAATAGGCAAATTCATAAAGACAGAAAGTAGATTACAGGGAGGAAGTGAAAATGAGACTTTATGGGTATAGAGTTTTTGTTTAGGATAATGAAAAAGTTCTGGAAATGGATGGTATTGATGGTTGTACAATATTGTGAATGTATTAAATGACAAATTTTATATTATATATATTATACTAGAATTTTCAAAAGTACAAAAGGGGAAAACAAAAGCAGATATATAAGAGAAAAGTACCCAAATACTCACTAGTTCTAGCTTCCATTTTTCAGCCTCTCCAATAGTTGTAGCTTTGCCAATATCTGCATCATCATGGAAAAATGGTTTCTTGGCAGCTTCATTTACCCTGGAATCATCACCTGTTGTAACCCAAGAATTCTGCATGTTTCCCTGAAATAAAATGTGTCAATAATTGCAATTGGCATTCAATTTTAAATAAGCATGAATACTTTTTTTAAAAATTTATTTTTTAGTTCTTGGCGGACACAACATCTTTGTTTTTGTATGTGGTGCTGAGGATGGAACCCGAACCGTACTTAAGCCAGATAAGCATGCTACCGCTTGAGCCACATCTCCAGCCCCAGCATGAATACTTTATAAATATTGATTCATATTCACAATGAAAGGAGGAAAAACATGTACTTTTAAAGTCAAGAATTGTCTTACCTTTTCAAGTTATTAGAGTCATATTCCACAAAAGGTGTTACAAAGTTAAAATCCTATAAGTATGGGCAATAATCCAAATGTGAGCAAAGAGGCCTAAATGTCAGTATATTTAGCAAATGGAATTATCTCTCACTCATCTGAAGACGTATATTCTTGAAACACATAAACCTACCTGGGTTTGTTAATTTTCCATATTTCACAGATGCATGGCTAAAAACAGTAATCATTGCAAATATATGTGGTGTTAACTATGTGTCAGACACAATTTTATGGGTTTAATATGACCTGTTAATGATCACAGAGTTAGAAAACAGCTAATAAGTGGCAAAACCAGGATCTAAACCTTGGTGGTCTAGGTCCACAGTCCTTGCCTGTGGCATAGTAAGAAATATATTATTTGGTTTCTGCCTTTGTTTCTTGACACAGAATTCTGAAAATTCTCATAATTTTCTGAGTGATAGAATGCCAGGAGCATCTTTTGATAAAATATTTGGTTTCAGGTTCTGGTTCCTGCCATAAGAACATGTAAGACCTTTAGTATCCCCAGAATGATAAAAGTATTTTTATGCTAATTAAATGATTGGTGGCCGGGGTCCCTAGATAGCTTTAAGATGGAGCTGATCTCATGAAAGACCAAGGCAGGATTAGAGAACTGTAACTTTTAGCCCCACCCCAGATCTCTGAGGACAGAGAGGCTTGAGATTGATTTAATCAACAATGGCCAGTGATATGATCAATCATGCCTATGTACTGAAGCCTCCATAAAATCCTACATGATGGGGTTCAGAGAATTTCTAGGTTGATTAATATATACATGTGCCAAGAGGTGGCACATCCAGCTACATAGGAACAGAAGTTTCTGCACTTGGAGTCATTCTGGACCTTGCCTTGCATATCTCTTCATTTGGTTATTCATTTGAATCTTTTGTAATGTCCTATATAATAAATTAGTAATAACAAATAAAGTGTTTCATTAAGATTTTTAAGCTTTTATAACAAATATCAAACATAAGGAAGAGATTGTGGGAACCCTCAGTTTGTAACCAAGTCAAAGAAAATTATGGATAATCTGGAGATCCACCACTTGTGATTGGGTCTGTTACCAACTGTGGGTAGCTAGTGTCAGAATTTAATTGAGGCATTGGACACCCAGTTGGTAGCCACAGAAAAATGGAGAATAACCTGGTATAGAGGGAAAAAATCCCAAATATTTGGTGTCAGAAATGTTACAAGGAGAAAAACAGGAATAGTTTTTCTTTTCATTTAGTACCCCAAGCCATTATGTTCTTATCCATTTACAAAATAAATAAATAAATAAATAAAATCCTCAAAAGAAAAAGAATGCACATGTTGTTATAAACAGAAGTGATACACAGCTTGCATGTCAGGGATTCAAAAAGGAGTGGTAGGAATCATGACAAATCATAGAAATGTGTCCTGTGCAAAGGACACAGCCACTCCTAAGTCCCAGTCAATCTTTGCCATATAGGAATAAAAATTCATATTACCAGAAAATCGTCAGATTTTCTTTTAAAAGATTAGCCAGATTCTGGTTCTTCATTTGAAACATTGTTAAATATTAACTCAATGTTTACCAAACCAATGAAACATATTTGTGGGTTGTATTCAGCATACCATTATCAGTGTGTAACCTCTGCCCCTAACATTTAATGAAATAAGCAACACAAAGATCTGAGAAATCTAAGTGTGCAACAAGGACTAAAATACTTACGTTAGTTTAATTCAACAAATAATTATTGAATTCTTGCTAAGGGCTAGTCCTCGTATATTGTAATGCCATATCATGCTAGAATGTGGTAAACCGCATTCTTACAGAGTAGCATTCTAAGATTCTTTTCCATATCCTCTGGAAGATCATTTTTGTACAAACATTTGCATAGCACCTACTATATTCAGACACTGTACAAAGGGCTTGGAAGACAAAAATGAACATGATTAAATTTTAGCTCCAAGGAATTTATAGTCTAATGAGGGAGACAAACACCAATCAGATAATTTCAATTTAATAAGGTGACTACTAAGCTAGAGGTGTGGCTGGGGGACTATGCCAGAACTGAGGAAGGATATTAAGGGACAACATTAATTTAAAGGTTTTGTGCCTGCAGAGGACTTCATAGGAAATTCACAAATACTAATGGTAAAAATAAAAGGTGATGTGACAGAGGATGAAGCTAGAAAATCAAACGAGGGTCTTGTGCATAGTATAGCATGCTATGCTAATAAGCTTATACTCAATTCTGTAGGTAGGCTCAACTCTCTGAAGATTTGACTGCATTCAATGTTGGCTTTGAGATCAATGAAGGAAGGAAGGAAGGAGGGAGGTACTTATTTCCTACGGAGAATTCCCAGAGAAATCAGAGGAAGCATGTGGACCATAGATTGCTGGCTCATTGAATAAAATACCATCATTCTTTGGAAATAAGTGCAGGTCTAATGGACACTTTGTTCTTCCAGAGATAGCTTTTAAAAACTTAAATGGTATTTAATCAAGATTAAAAAAAGATCTCCATATATTAAATCCCTAAACATCATTAAAAACCCTTTATTCCTTAATAGAGGGGAGTGTTGGTATGGGAGGGGATGAGAACAATCCTTGGAAGAAATGTCTCAGAAATTTTCCATTAAAAAAACTGCTAGATCTTTGAGTATACATGCCAAAATTTCTAATAAATAACATTTTAATATTATAATTTTTGAATTCTAGACAAAGCTTTCCAGGAAAAGAAATTTTATGAGAGTAAAAAATGATGGAAAATGAAAGTAGAAATAAAGTATACTTTAAATAGCTTACTATTATTTTAAAAATCATCTGCTTGCTTCTTCAATATCTAGGTCATAAACTAGGCCAAAAGCTAAAAGTCTTGTTGGCTGTCATTCAATACTAGAGATAAAAAGTGAGAGACTCTGAAAAGGAGAAACTTTATTCTTTACAAACAAAAATGGTTTGGTTCAAAATTGACAAGCTCTTTCTAAATTATGCAGAAAAGCAGCATAATTTGGGATTAAGTAAATGAATTTTAGAAGTCAGAAAGTCATGGGTTTAAGTTTTTGCTTTGCTATTTCATAACTCTGTGATATTAGACCAGTTCCTTAACTACTGCATACTTTAATCTTATGCTCTGAAAATGAAATAACACCTGCCTTGTGTGACTATTGTGAAACTAAAATCATATATATAGTGTTTGATACAATGCCTAGCACATTATAACAAGGTAGTGATCATTAGATGTTAGTTATTACTACGTAACTGTTTCAATTAATTTTCAAAAGAGGACATTATTAAACACTGAAAATCAATACTCAAATCAGCCAATTGTGTTGGCAAAACCTAGCATCAACATTTTAATTGACTCATTAATAAAGTTTCCCTACTGCCAAAGAAGATAATATTTCTTGATCTGTTTACATTTGAGCAATTCTAAAAAGTGTTATTCATATTAAAACTCCCAGGGCAATACCATGCATGCATTACTGAAATGCCTCAATTCATCCACACAAGTGAAAAGCAGAGCAACAATTTTATAACAATAAATAACACAGCCGAGCATGGTGGTGCATGCCGGTAATCCTAGCGGCTTGGGAGGCTGAGGAGAAGATCCAGAATTCAAAGCCAGCCTCAGCAAAAACAAGGTGCTGAGCAACTCAGTGAGACCCTGTTTCTAAATAAAATACAAAATAGGGCTGGGGATGTGGCTCAGTGGTTGAATGCTTCTGAATTCATCTCCAGCACTCAAAAAACAAAACAAAATAAGTATAGTATTAAAATAGATGTCGAAATCACTACATATATCTCTAACAATCATTTCAATATTTTCATTACATATTAGCTTGTGAGAATATTTAAAGAAGACGACAAAAACCCCTCTATAACCTTGTCAGTTCTATGATTATGACTCCAGTTTTGCTTGCACTGCAAGGCATGTGTTCTTTCACAATCACTTCCTTCCCCTTTTGCATTACTCACTTCTCTTGCCTTCTGATTCACTGGTCTGCCTAGTTTCCTTTTTCAGTACACTTCCCTTTATTTGTCATTATAGAAATATTGAAGACTATGAATAATTGACTCCTTGCATGCTAAGTGACTATATATTTAGAAAGAAAGCAAAAGAATACATTCATTTTTTAGATGAGCTACTTCTAAGTTCTTTTTGTGTGGTGATAACTTCTTCAAATTGACATTAAAATATAAGATGGAGTTTTTGAACACTAATATTAGTAATTATGTAAATCTTCAGAAAAGTTAAGTAGTGAGGGAAAAATAACTGATCACAAACTTAAATGTAATTGCACAAACTTACTAATACTAACTGACTCTTTAGTATTAGTAATAATACTAAGTGAAATACTAAGCAGCTTTTTACACTTTTCAGAATTAATAATCATATATTTTGCCATAGCAAATTCTAACATATCATTTAAAAGATTAGAAATGTAATACCAAAAAACAAAGTAAAATTTCAAAAGCAAAAGAATACATATGTAAAACATTAAGACTCTCCCATTTTTTTCTCTTAACAGAACTGATTTACAAATGATGACTAAGTTAAAACCATCAAAGCTGAAATAGGCAAGTATCAAAACTTCCCCATGGACAGTTGAAATTGCCTCAAAAAACAGAACAATCATTGACTATGTCCTAAAACAACAGTGAAAAACATTTTTAGTGCAACAGTACCTCCAAGTTATAAGAAGATATTAATTTTAAACATTATTTAAGTATCATCACAAGAGTTTTGTCACAGAACTATAAGAAATCATGTGATCTATTGTTCGTTAAACTGTGAGCCAATGATATTAGAATCACTTAGGTCTTGATAAAAATTCATATTCCTAGAACCCAACAGGACCAACTATCAGAATCTCAGAGGATAGAGCCCAGGAATATGCAATCTCAACTTGATAAAGGTGAATCTTCTCAAATTATCAATAAAGGAATTACACATGAAGTTAAGTCAGGCAAAGCCCTGTAAAATTATTTGCTAAATACATGGTTCCTAAGGGATGACTGAAAGACTAATTTTGATTCATGGGCCCTTAATTAATAATATCATATTGTTAATTAGACTTCTTAGATTTTAGAGCTCAAGAAAAATTCACAATAATCCATCAAAGATCTAAGGTTAGATGCTGAATAGTTTCCAGAATTACCAAAGTCTTCCTACATAACATACTTTCTACTTTCAGATCCAGTCTTTCCATATGGAAAAATAATAATTAGTATGCTCATAGAAGAACTGGAATAAATATTAGGCATTGCTACATTACTTCATTTGAGGTTACCTTTCATCTTAGTAAATTCTAATTTTTGAGACATCAAGCAAATACCAGTATAGTGTTTTGGCCAAACTTCAAGGAAAGATTCTAAGCAGTTCAGAAGGCTAAGGTAGAAGGTAGAAAGGAACATTCAAACTAAACTAGAATTTATGATTTTTAAAAAATTCTCACAGATGCATCCAGAAATGTTTGTTCCCTCATTGTCTCCTCTTGTCTTTGAGATTTCAGCTGGAGTCTTTCTTGCTGGAGTCTTTCATTTTCAAGCTCAACTACTTGTACCTTATTTTTCATTCCAGAGAGTTCCTCCTATAAACAGAAACCAAAAAGAATGAGCTTTTTAAACAATGCTTTTATTTACTGATCACTAAAGGATCCAGAATGATACAAAATATAGAAGTTTGTGTTCTGTTAATTTCCTGAAACACTACAATTATACTTAGACAATAAAGGTAACCCAAACATTAGCTAACAGAGAGAATGTTAGGAATGTATAGTTGAAGGCATGTTGATGGCCATATCACAAACCTGTAGTTTCTGATATTTTTTTTTCATCACAAGGATTCAAGGCTTATAGAAAGGCTTTAATTAAAATAGTTATCAAAGAGTTTTTAAAGAATGATATACACTGCTGAAAATAAGGTATGATATTATTAATAATAAAATGTCAATAACTTGTGTGGACTAAAAAGGAGAAAACTTGGAGATAAAGGGATAGAAAGAGGCAATGATTATCTATGAACTGGTAGCCATATAGCAGTGAATTATGAGTAAAGCAGTATGGTGGGTTCCTCTGACCCTGCAAGGTGTAATATAAGGCATTATAAATAAATGACAATAGAATAGCTCTTGAGTGGCACCTGAAAAAAATATGCCAAATTATTAATATATCAATGAGGTAATACTTATCCTAATAATATTCATTACTAATATAATAAAAAACTAGTATATAACATATGCAAATTCCTTCCAATTATTTTATTTAGAAAAAGCAAAACTGTAATTAAAAAACATTTTTAGAGTTCTAATTTTCATTCTTACATGCAATTAATTTACAAGACATCAATCCCATCTTTAAACATCCTAATCTTATAAGACTATAGCAGAGGGATTCAGCTGAAAGAACTGTATTTAAGAGGAATTTTCTAAGGAAACCTCAAAACCACAAAGGAGACAAAAACCAGGATACTGGAAGAAATCTTAACCTCTGAAATGTATGGCAAAAGCAAACAGTCAAAACAGCCTAACTTCTGGACATATAAATATGAAAATTAACATTAAAGTTCTAGTTAATACAGTTCCTATTACCTAGTACATCATGTCCGACATTCAGTTAAAAATTTTAAGGCGTACTAAGGGACTTAAAACACAGTTTGAAGAGAATGAATAAGCATTCAATCTCAGACATGACAGAGATGCTGAAATTATCAGGACAGACTTTTAAAACAAATAAGATTACTATGCTAAGATCCCCTCCCTCTCTTTCTCCCTTCCTTCCTTCCTTCCTTTCTGATACTGGAGATTAAAACTTGGGAGATACATCCCCAATACTTTTTCTTTTTATTTTGAGATGGGGGTCTCCTTAAGTTGCTGATTGTCTTGCTAAGTTACTGAGGCTGGCCTCAAACATGTGATCCTCCTGCCTCAGCCTCCCAAGTCACTGGGATTACAGGCATGTGCCACTACACCTGGCTGCTAAAATCTTTAATGAGAAAAGTTGACTACATGTAAGAATAGGTGGGTGATGTCAGTGTGGAGATGGAAACTTTAAGAAAGAATTATAAGTAAATATTAGAAGTCAAAAACAATAACAGACATGAAGAATGTCTTTAATTGCCAATTAATAGACTGAACAAGGCCAAGGAAGACAATTACTAACTGGGAAGAGCTGGCAATAGAAAATTCCAAAACAAAATTGAAGAGAGAAAAAGAAAAATTAAAAACAAAACAAAAAAAACCCCACCAAAGACAGAAAAGAATATCCAAAAACTGCAGTACAATTATAAAAAATGTAATATATGTGTAATGGGAATACAAAAAAGAAGAAAGAGAAAATGAATGGAAGAAATATTCGTATCAACAGTGACTGAAATTTTTCCTAAATAATTAATAGGCACTAAATAATAGATCCAGGAAGCTCAGAGAACATCAAGTAGGATAAACACCAAAAATATCTAAACCTAGGAATATTATATTCAAACTGTAGAAAATCAAAGGCAAAGAGAGATCTTAAAAGAAACTAAAGTAAAAATGTAAAACAAATTCAACTACCACCACTAACAATAATAACAATAAGTCTTTACCTATAGAGAAGCAAGAATAAAAATTATATAAGACTTCTTATTTCTTTTCCAAAACTATGTAAACACAAAGAGAGTGCAGAATGAAATTTTTATAGTGTTTAGAGGAAAAAAATAAAAACCTAGATAACTTAGAATTTTGTATTTGACAAAATTAACCTTTGAAAGGGAAGGAAAAAAATAAAGACTTTCGTAGACAACAATTGTGAGGGAGTTTGTTAATAATACACCTGCCTTGCAAGAAACGTTAAAAGACATTCTTCACAAAGAAGAAAAATGATTGAGGTCAGAAACCTATCATCTATATAGAGTAAGAAAGAGTATTAGAGAAGTAATAAATGGAGATAACATAAATATTTTAGTTTTCTCATTAATTTTTCAGATAATAGTTGTTCAACATCAGGATAGCAACAGTGAAAGTGGTAATTATAGTTTATGTATAACTGAAATGAATGATAGCAATGTTTTTAAAGGACAGGAGAGAGAAATAGCAGCTATTTAATGACTTACAATTCCTATGAGGTAGACATGGATTATTTGCAAGTGCATATTGCAAACTCTAAAAAAAAATAAAAAAGAAAAAATGTATAATTGATAGATTTGCAAAGACAGGATTTAAAAAGGCAATCATATTAAATAAGCAATTACAACCAATGAAGACATGAAGAGAGTTGAAAAAAAGAAACAAAGGAGAGCAATTAAGAGAGCAATTGATTGGGTTATTTCTTTTTTTGGTGCTTAGCTTTTTGAGTCCCTTATATACCCTAGAGATTAGTGATGATGTGTGAGGGGTAAAAATTTGCTCCAAGGGTGTAGGCTCTCTATTCACCTCACATATTGTTTCTTTTGCTGAAAAGAAATTTTTTAGTTTGACTCCATCCCATTTATTGATTCTTGGTTTTAATTCTTGGGCTATAGGAGTCTTATTAAGGAAGTTGGGGCCAAATCCCACATGATGAAGATGAGGGCCTACTTTTTCTTCTGTTAGACACAGAGTCTCTTCTGGTTTAATTCCTAGGTACTTGATCCACTTTGAGTTGAGTTTTGTGCATAGTGAGAGATAGGGATTTAATTTCATTTTGTTGCACATGGATTTCCAGTTTTCCCAGGACCTGAACAGATACTTCTCAGAAGAGGATATACAATCAATCAACAAATATATGAAAAAATGTTCACCATCTCTAGCAATTAGAGAAATGCAATTCAAAACTACTCTAAGATATCATCTCACTTCAGTCAGAATGACAGCTATTATGAAGACAAACAACAATAAGTGTTGTCGAGGATGTGGGGGAAAAGGTACACTCATACATTGCTGATGAGACTGCAAATTGGTGCAGCCAATATGGAAAACAGTATGGAGATTCCTTGGAAAACTAGGAATGGAACCACCATTTGACCTAGCTATACCTCTCCTCAGTCTATACCCAAAAGGCTTAAAAACAGCATATTACAGGGACATAGCCACATCAATGTATATAGCAGCACAATTCATAATAGCTAAACTGTGGATGCTCTTCAGTAGATGAATGGGTAAAAAATGTGGCATATATACACAATGGAATATTATGCAACAATAAAAGAGAGTAAAATCATGGCATTTGCAGGTAAATGGATGGCATTGGAGAAGAAAGTGCTAAGTGAAGTTAGCCAATCCCCAAAAAGAAATGCTGAATGTTTTCTCTGATATAAGGAGGCTGGCTCATAGTGGGGTAGGGATGGGGAGCATGGGAGGAATAGATGAATTCTTGATAGGACAAGGGGGAGGGAGAGAAAGGGAGGGAGCAAGGGGTTAGCAAGGATGGTGGAATGTGATAGACATCATTACGAAGACAGGAATTGGTGTGAACATACTTTATATACAACCAAAAATATGAAAAATTGTGCTGTATATGTGTAATAAGATTTGTAATTCATTCCACTGTCATTTATTTTTTTTAAAAAAAATCAGTTAAAAAAGGGAGCAGTAACAAGTGTTGGATATTAACCTTACTATATCAATAATTATTTTAAATTTCTAAATATAAAAATTTAAAGACAGACATATCATAAGAGGTTTTAAAAAAGTCCTCAAGTATACCTTCAAGAAGCCCAATGTAAATATAAATAAATGGATTGGTAGAGGGCTAAATATAAATACCCAGCAGAGGTACCTCTGCTGTACCATAGGATAGAACCATAGCAACAGGTTTGTAACTGCCTGTGGAGGTGGGTGTCCATGGGTAAGCATTGGAAATTCACAGCAGAAAAAATGAAACCTGCTGAAATCCAGAGACTGGGGAAAACAACAAAACAAGTAGAATATCCAGGACTTGGTGTCTAGTACCTCAGTCAAGGACAGGGAACTCTTCAAGGAGATTCAGGTGAAAGAGAAAGAGTTATAATCACAGGGTGGTGCAGAAGGGTGCACTCTGCAGACAGATTAAATATACACATGACCTACAGTCTGCACAGCAAGGTAGCTTTAGAGAAGAAATGTACTATATCTTGCAGCAAACTATCAGAATGCTATAGCTAGGAGCCAGAGGGCATAATCACATCTCAGGTCCTTGTGGACAATTGGCCTTGTTGATTGGACAGGCAACAGGCACCTGAGGTAATCTTGGCTTGGGGGAGCATCTCCTGACACAAACCCCATGATAAAAGTTTTATACTTCAGGGAGCATGGGATGTAAAGAGGAGAGGAGTAGAGAGCACTGCCCTCAGGAATCAATGGTTCAGGGAGCCCACTCTCTTGTGACCTAGAGTGACACCAATGGCATGTAGTCATGTAGGGACCAGGTTTGAAGGTGTCATGATTCAGAGTAGTAGACCACTGGGTTCCTGCAAAACCTCCTTCAGCAAAAAACTCAGTGGTCCAATTTCCTCCTCCTTCCCCCAGGAGGCATTAGGGGATACCTCTGGCTTAGGCCTTTTGTGTCCCTCACACTCCTCACTCCAGGATGTGTAGACTTTAAGAGAGGGAGGGAAGGAGGAATGAATAGGTGAAGCACAAGAAATGTTAAACTACTATGTATGGTACTGTAATGGTGGATCTGTGTCATTATACATTTCTCAAAACTCATAGAAAATATACTGCTTGAATTTAATGAAAACTGGAAAATTTAATGTAAAATAGAAAATTTTGGTTCATCAGTTGTAACAAATGTACCACACTGAGACAAGATAACTAGGAAAACTGTGGGGTAGAGTTTTGATTGAGAGAAGTATATGGAAACTCTATGTATTTTTTTTCAATTTTTCGGTAAACATAAGCTGATCTTTAAAAAAAAAGACCCAGAGGTGAATTAAACAACTTCTTTAATTAATTAAACAACTTGTTTCTAAATCTTTAAATGTTATTTTCTTTCTATTCCTTCTTTGTTAAAATGTCTAAAAACCATGCTTTATCTGACTTTCAAGTCTTCTATAATCTTCCATTTTACCAGTTCAGCATTATTTTCATTATTTCTATGAGACACACTCCATGGTAGGAAGATAAAAGAGATGTCTCATGGGACCAACAAACAAACTATACTAATCCTAAATATATAATTGTTACTGTTCTTTACAAAACTTTTTCTCTTCCCTTCTGCTGAGCTAGATGGTTTCCTTTAATGAATGATTCAAGATCCATGTCTCCCATAAAAAATATCCCCAAAGACATGAGCTTTTTGCATCCTTCTTCTCATATTGTAGCTAAAGTTTATGCCATGAAGTAAAGGACAACATATATTCTCTATTATGTTGCTATGCTGCTCATAGGAAATAGTTTTTTGTCTTTTCAACTAGATGGTAAATTTATTATTCTTTATATATTTTAAATTTTATCCATAGTATCTTTAGTGATCAAGAGATTCTTGCTAATGGAATAATTATTATGATATTATTTTGGTTTTACTGATAATCCAAGAGTACCTAAATATTAATGATCATGTACTTCAAAAACAAAGGGAAAACTAAATGTTGAGATCAGGGACTCCTTTGTAAGATCAAGATCATGAAACATATAAAGCCTCCTTAAGTTACATACTGGTCTTACGGGGTATGAAAGTAGACACTTGTAATCCCAGCCATTGGGAGGCTGAGGCAGGAGGACTGCCAAATTCAAGGCCAACCTCAGCAACTTAGTAAGACCTGTCTCAAAACAAAAAAAAAAAGGTCTTGGGATGTAGCTCAGTGGTAAAGCGCCCCTGGGTTCACTCTCTAGTATCAAAAAAAAAAAAAAAGTAAAATAAATAATAAAAAAGTTACAAACTGGTCTTGCATCAAAATGTTAAAAATATAATACATGATACAAAAAATATCATCAATTTCCATAAAATATCACATAATTCAATCCTTAGCACCAAAATGACAATATCCAAAAACTTATTTTATATATGTAACAGATATTTTTCATATAAAAATCATCACCTGATTCACAAATAATACAAAAATCGAAAAGGGAAAAAACAATGAGAACAAAAAACTAAAACAAAACAAAAACTGAAACACTAACATTACCTTGAAAAAGTAGAAAGGTTCTAATGGAATTAATGACATCACCAAATTGCAAATAGTCAAACAATATAACTTTTCAGAATCACAAACTATGGGGTAATATTCAATTTGTTAATCATTACTCAGTATGAATCACTATTAATCAAGTTCAAGGTAAGAGCCTTAAGAGTGACAATGGAACAGATTTGGTCTACCAGCTTAGAATCCTCAATTATTGTACCAGAGCTTCAATAAGTTGACCATTGTGGGAGAATAATTGGTCTTAGTATTCCAAAATATTTGCCATCTGGTAGGCTAAAGTAAATGGAGTGGAAAGGAGGAATTCTGAAACATGAGAGCATATTGTGAAATCATTAGACATAGTAATGGACTACTGGGAAATTAAGCAATCAGAAATGGCATGTTCAAGAATATCATCCTGAAGACAAGTTCCTGTACTACATTAGTCTTTCAATAATGTAAGAATAGCAATTGGCTATGGACTGCTACAAACATGAAAACTAATGATAGCAAATTCCTATTTAAGACATAATTGACATAAATTTTAATTTGTAAGATTAAATTTCTAAAGGGAACTTACCTTGCAAAACTTGACTTCAGCCTCTAAATGATGAATGTATTGAGATTGGTCATTAATGATAGGAACAAGGTTGTGTACAATAGGCATATTAGTTTCCTCATATTCTGATGATCTCTAAAACAAAAAAAGGTAAATTATGCATGTTTGGATTTTGCAAAAAATCAGCTGATACCTTCTCCAGATTTAATTCAGCACATATTTGATGTAAACAAAGATCAAAGTGTAACTAATAGTATTTATTTCTCTATTCTATAAATTAAATATACAAGACAAGGGGATATGAATATCATTTTTTACAGACAGAAAGTAAAGATTGTTATTAAAAGCAATGGAAAGTATAAAGATACTGGGGTAGGATAATTGTCTTAGAATGACTTGCCTATTTGAACTGAATACAAAATCCTATTCAATAATGCTGTGATATGAGGGACAGCTCTCTCTAAGAAACTGCCATGGAAGAGAACTGCTAGCTGAAACTGTAGATTAGCTCACTGAAGAAAGAGATTCTTTAGATAAATGTTTGAGGTCAAATGTATGTCAATAATGTAAAATTCCATTTCAAAAAAGATACTTCAGCAAAACATTTTTTTTTGTTTTAAATTTTTTATTCTAATACTTAGGCAATTCTAAACTGTGCTTTTTTTCTGGGGGGGGGGTGGAGAGTATAGAACCTCCAAGACTTGAGCCCTAAAGTAGAGAGAGAGAATTTTTTTTAATATTTATTTTTTAATTTTTGGCGGACACAACATCTTTGTTTGTATGTGGTGCTGAGGATCGAACCTGGGCTGCACGCATGCCAGACAAGTGCGCTACTGCTTGAGCCACATCCCCAGCCCTAAAGTATTTGACTTAGCTTATTTTAAATGACTATTATAAAATAACTTTTTTAAAAGAAGAAATATGGGAAAGGAAAAATGAAGTTCAACCAGCTAAACAAGAGGAAAGTTTGAAATGGACAATCTCTATTTCTTAATCATTCTGGTTTTCAGTTCAACAAAAATTATGAACAATCAAATATCAACTTTCAAGGCAGATAGTTAAAAATAGCTTTATGTTTGGGTATATTAAATTTAAAAAACAAAGAAACTTTATGTATGTATGTATATGTATGTATGTACATATATATGTATTGTGATTCTAGGAATTGAACACTGGGCCTCATGAATGCTAAGTCAAAGCTCTGCCATTAAGCTGCATCTTCTGCCTCAAAAGTAGCTTTATTTATTTACTTAATTATTTACTTATTGGCAGTATTTGGAATTGCACCTAGGGATGTTCTACCACTGAGCTACAACCCCAGTCCTTTTTACTATGAGACAGGATCTCACTAAGTAACTCAGATTGGCCTTGAACTTGAGATCCTCCTGTCTCAGTCTCCTGAGTCACTGGAATTGGTGTGTGCCTTCATGCCCAGCTAAAATAACATTAATTAAACGAACTACCTGTGGTGGGTAGAAAGCTAAATAACTAAGACATTACACTTTTACATTTGTCACATATATACGTTCATACAATAATAGCTATTTATTTATTTCTTTGTTTTTTTGTTTATTTATTTATTTATTTATTTATTTATATGTGGTACTGAGGATTGAACCCAGGGCTTCGTCTGTACTAGGCGAGTGCTCTACCACTGAGCCACAACCCCAGACCTATAATCATTTTATATTAATAGAAACAGGTTCAGAATGTAGGCAAATATGAATTAAGTACAGTTAGTCCTCCATGTCTGTGAGTTCCACATCCATGGAGGATTCAAACAATTGCATATCAAAAATATTTGAAAAACATACTTAATCTGTACTAATGATGTGCAGAGCTTTTTTCTAGTCATTTTTTCCTAATAATATAGCATAAAAACTATTTACATAGTAGCATCACATTGTTTTAGGTATTTACATAGCATCACATTGTTTGAGGTAATCCATTGGTGATTTAGAGTATATGGGCAAATGTAATATGTTATATGAAAATACTATGCTATTTTATGTAAGGATTGGAATATTCATGCATTTTGATATCGAAAGAGGGGTCCTGGATCTAATCCCCATGGATATTGAGAGACATCTGTGTCGGTTCCTATGAATACATAGGAAAAAGTCAATGTAAAGAATCTTTTAGGAGTCCTGGAAAGATGGTGGTGGGAAGTGAGTAAGCCGCTCCGTGCTCCGCGCCGCTACGCCCGCACAGCGTATGTCACCACGTCTTAAAAGAAGAAGTAAAGATCATTAAAGGAGATCTGTGGATAAAGACACAGCACCGTGTCAAGAAAGGGGCCTAGGTGGAGTGAATCTGCCACAACTCCAGCCAAGGTGGAGAGAGTCCATCACAACTTCAGCACGAGCAGTAAGGCTGCAGCCCCTGAGCTGCCTGGCTCCCTCGGCCCCTTCTCCCTCTCCTCTCCACCTTTTCGCTTTGCTTATCCCCCACCATCTCTCCTCCCACGCTCACTCCCTAAATCTAGATCTCAATTTCTTTCCCCCACCCCGCCGGCTCTCTTGCATGCCCAGTACCCGGCCGCGCAGGCCCCGAGGCGCTGCCTCCACTCCCCCAGCCCTCACCCCCTCCCCGGGGGTCCTGAAGGCCACAACTGGGCCACCGCCAGGGCTTCCCGCGGAGCAGCTTAAAGCAGACTCTTCACCGCGCAAGTGAGCTGCTGAGTAAAATGGAACAGCTGATGAGTGACAATTTAAAATCTAAGTGATCCAACATGGCGGCGGACGCGAAGAGATCAAGTCTCTAACCCCTTCAGCTGCGTGGGCATAGGGAGAAGTAAACTATGAAAATACTGTTCGATCAGGACCACTAGGCACTGTTGAGCTGAAGGAGATCCCGGGCGAATAGTCTGCCCTTCTCAGAACACACCGAGCCCAGATTGGCTGCATTCGAGTTCTGATTCGCCTGCTGCTCGTGACTCAGCACTAATGATCCCGCTGAAATAACTAGTCGGCCCACCTGAACTCACAGAGGTAAAAGCCAACTGAGCACGATAGCCAGACCCAGGGAATCAGGAGTGACGTGGGACTAGCGACGCAGAACTCCCGGTTATCGCTCCCACCAGTGCTGACAACAGAGGTCCCTTGCACCAGCTACCAGGAGAGTTGCTACCTGAGGGCAAAAAAATTCGCTGGGGGTCCTCAGCCCCAAGCCCATAAACTTAGGGTCTGAGGGAAGCAAACAGAAAGGGTGTGCCCAGGCTTCCATGATAACAGGGCTCCCAGGAGCAGCAGACCCGACATGTAGCCAGTATTGTGGTGAGTGTCACAGGTGAGCGGGGCCTGGCTTGAGGAACCACAAGAGAAGGCCCTAGAGACCCGCACAGTCTGGGAAGAAGAGCTGAGGCACAGTGATTGGTTCCCACCTATCAAGAAGAGAAGCCTGGCCCAGTGGGCATAGCTCCACCTACTGGAAGAGAAGTTAATCAAGCTCTATGACTGCATTTATTATTATTATTATTTTTT